TTTTTTTTTTGGATTTTTAAAAATATTATTTATACCGTTGGTCTAAACCATTTAACATCATTTAAACGTTTTCCAGAATGATATATTGATTTATTATTTGCTGGAAATTCTGGATCAACAAATAAATTATTTGAATCATGTTTATCTTTAAGTGTTTCATAAACTTGATTTTTATATGGTTTAATATCACACATACTTTCGCCTATTTTCGTTCGATATTAGTTTTTCTTCTAGGCTCGTATGCGTGAAATCTATGATTCATCTGGTTCATGATTGGCTCGTTAGCGTGTTATTATACGATAGTGTCTCTGTCAATCATCATCATTAGAATTTACTTCGTGCGATTAATGAAGCAAGTAGATTAGAAAAGAGGTCGACTGTAAACAATCATTTTTTTACATCTTAATTATTATGAATAAAATTAAAGCATCGACTGGAAAATTTCATTATATAACATTATTCTTCTAAGTTTGTATTTAAAAGAAAAACGAAATACATCTGAAAAATAGTTTTAGTTAATAAATTACAAACAATATTTTCGCACATTCCAAAAAAATTCTTCTGAAATATACATGAGTAATTGAATACTTTAATGATATGATTCGGTAAGATAAATTCTCTCTATAATCAGCAACAAGATTTCAATGTAGATACTCTTAATAATATGGTTTATCTCATCAATTAATAAACGAAATTTAATTTTCTTTTATTTCAATAATTGTTGAGTGAGTGTCAATTCTAAGGAAGAAAAATTAGATCCTATGATCGATGAGTCGCTTGGTAAATCCTATATATATGCATACAATAAAAAGGAATTGACTATATATGATTGTTTGTGATCTTTACAAAAAAATTTGGAATATCGAAAATATTAGTTTATGACCCGTTAAAAGATTGTATATACTTTTAAACATGAGAATACTAATACGGAATAAAATAATATCATAATTACTGAGAATAACGAGAAGGATATAGTTCTAATGATTTCAAAATAATAAATGCGCATCAAATTACTTTCATATCTCGACTAGAATCTGTCAGATTATAAATTTTTCAATACAAACTTAAAATTCCAACGGTATTCTTAATTCAATAAATATTATTTGCTTTATATCAACTGAATAATCGTTTTCGAAAATAAAAAAATTTTTTTTTGCTCGCTTATTTTTATCTTAATTACACATCTCTTAATGATAATTAATTTATAAATACCTTTAACTTTGAATTACCATATTAATTGCTAAGCAAGAAAATTTTTAGACTTAGATTCAATTCGATAAACTCTAATTTAATCACTGAAGTTTATCTTTTTAAATAATTATATCATAGTAAAATCTAACATCTCTTTCATGATTCTGTTGAGAAACTCTTTGTATATTATTACTCCATCTATACATCTCTCAAATGCTTGGATTAGTAATATTTACTAGTTGTGTAAGACGAGTCGCCACAATCTGCTGCCATTGGTTCTGATACCAGTAGCGCTATCACTCATAAATTCCTCATAAAAGATTGGTTCTTCTCATATTTATTTTTCAAGGCCATTTTTTTTCTCTTACGCCATATTTATATCGTTTTCTATCGAATTTTTTTTTATTGTTGCACATTACTGCCATAGATAAATGTTTATTTCATTCTGTTTTTTTTTGCTCTTTACACATCTATCAAAGAACCCATATATTATACCTTGTATTTCGTCAATTTTTGTTTTATTCGTTCTCTCTTTTTTTTTCTCTAATAAAAGAGAAAGAAGGATATCTTTGGTGCTCGTTTTTTTCTTTTTACACCGATTTATGGTCAATATATTTTATACGATTCTTTTTCTTTTGCGTTCGTTCGTTCGGTTTCATTGTGAGAAGCATCAGCTTAAATAAAAAGTTTTTTGTTTTTTTCTTATTATTATGTTCTATGACCTTACCTTGGTTGATTCTTCATCTTTTAGATAGGAACTTTTTTTTTGTTGGACAAAGGAAAAAAAAATAATGAACTCGTTCATCGTCACTTTAGCTGGTCTCTCTTTGGTCTACTTAGCAGTTATTACAACTGGTTAGTATTAAATTCTCTTTTTTTTTCGAAATTTATTTATATTAAATTTTCTAGTCTATGCTAATGAAATCGGTGGTCTCGATGTATCAAAAGATCAATTAATTGCATTAACACGTGATCATTTTGGTCGTTCTGATCCTGATGCATTACTTAACGGTTTCTTTCCCGTTTGGGCTGCAATTCAATTTTCAATTGCTTGTAAGTTATTCAAGATAAAAAAAATTAAATCAAGGATAACCTTTGAAATCTTCATTTTTTTTATATATTTAGGTTTCTTCTTCGTCATTGCTGTACTCAGTCTTGTCTGTTACATATTAGGTTGTAGAACACCACCAGGAGAACGAGCCAAACAAATCAATTAAACGAATGCATAATAATAATTATATTTTCCTTTGTCTCTCTCTAAGCTTTTTTTTCTCCTTTTATCCTAATTTTAAATCGTCATCCTTGTGTATTCCGAACAGTTTTTAATCAATCCCATAAATTAATCAATGTCATAGTTTTTCTTTTTTTGTGTCTTTGTTTAGCTAAACAAAATAGTTCGTATTTGTATTGTGCATTGTTTTTCTTTTTATTTTACAAGTATTTTAGTTAAAATAAAAATTTTCAATATTAACATATTTTGAAAAAAAAAATCATTATCAATTTTATATAACGATATTGCTATATGACATGTGATAAATCATAGTGAATAGGAGTATGTTGTGCACAATATAATTAAATAATTGAAAAATATTCTGCGTAACAGACCGTTAGAAGTATGATCTTTGCGTTGAACTTTCATGTCTATTAACAATTATGTTTATTACAGAATATGTTTTCCTTAAACTTTCATATAGTTCAGTAACTAACCTATATTTTAACAATAATCGTGAATACGGTTGATAGATTTGTTGGTCAAGGCAACTTTTGAGGCCAAATTCAATACTGAGTTATATTTTTACAATGCTGGAAAAATTAAATTCATATGCTATTATCAAAGGAGAACAAACTGATTTCAAGTGACTTCTACTGCTTTCAAGTGATTTCGATTGGTGAAATCAGTTTGTTCTCCTTCGGCTATTATGATAAAACAACAAAATTTTACACAAAAGTCACTAAAATCTTTAGTTTAGATTAAAAGAAAAAAATCGTTGCGTTCTTTTTTCGAGTGAAAACTTATAGTATTTATTAAAATTAAAATGTTTGAATTTACTATGTGTTTTTACTATTTCTACTATTTATAGGCGACAGAATTCTTAGCTGTTTAAAACGATCTAAATCTTCTTTGACTTGAAAGTTTCAATATTCTAAGTCAAAAAACCGTGGTTCCTGAAATCTTGTATCAAGACATACCACGTTTTTCTTAAAATATCTTACGTGCATTGTATTTTCCCAGTAACAATTTTAAGTGAGATTTTGAAAAAATATTAATATTAGTAGAATATTATGGTGCCATTGTACTGCAGAAGAATCTTATAACAGTTCTTATATTACGAACAAGTGCAAGAAATCAAGAACCACGATTTTTTGTATGATCCTTGTCTGACTTCATCCGATAATATATGATCAGAGATACGACTCTTGCTATCTGATAACTCGACCTGGGTACTTGAGAAGAAACTAAATTTTACAATGAATCTCTATTACTATTAAACAGCATTATAGAAAAAAGAGTGTACGAATCAAATTCAATGATTTCTTAAAGAGATATCAGAGTATCTGCTAATATCGTATCGTTCAATCAATTTGAAGATTATGCCTACGGTTATTTTATATTTAAATTGCTATTGAGACATATTGTACTTGTTTATATAACATCTCATGACCTTCATAGAGTACCTGTTATGTGCCTCAGGTATGATAATCATCTTGTTTTATCCTATCCAACAAGTTAATAGAGTATTTCTATACTTATAAAATCAGAAGAAAGCCATGCTAATAATACTTTGAAGTGTTTCCTAAGAAAACTCTAAGTATTTCAAAAGTTCATTATTATCATCTCATACATCATATGAAATTCTTTCCAAGTTTTCTTTAGTCAACATTATTTTATCACCTATACTAAAGGTTAATTAGGATATTTGTTGTATTCATTTTAGGATAATTATAATCATCTTTATATATACATGCAAAAATATAGTATTCCACATTTATTTAAATATAAATACAATAATTATATAACAAAATAATTTTTCATCGGTTGTAAATCTTTTAAAAATCTTTTAATTAACAATGGCAAAAAGTGAAAGTCTAACTGTTTATTTACTACGATGCATATCAGCAATCAATGAAGCTAATCGTCTTTGTCGTCTTGCAAATCTTATAAAAAGTTTTCTATATGCTTCACGAAAACGTGGTTGAATAAATGGATAAAGTATTGGATTAACGGTTGAATTAAGCCATAAAAGCCAAAATGCAGCTGAATAGACTTGTCCATTTGTATCAGTTAAAATTTCAACTGAAAATATTCGTCCAACAACTACAACGAATACATATGGTAATAAAAATATCATAAATACAAGTACTAAAGTAAAAAGTGATGTAGCTGCACGTTTATCACGTCTTAAACGACGAACAGTACGTTGTTCACCAGTTCCATTTGTAGTATTAGTCGTTTTTGCCATGTGCAATGCAGATAAAGGTGATGCAAGTGAATGATGACGCCATACTAATATAGGATTATTCATCGATTTTCGTTTTACTGTAGGCATACAGAATGCTTGAGTTGATAATGATGTACGATGATCGACTGATAATGTATCCATTTGAATTGATGATGGAATAAATGCTTGTTTAAAACGTGAATATAGATTTATTGATTGTCTTGCTTCTGAATTATTTAATGGCGTTGATTGAAATTCAACTGAACCATCTTCATCTGGTATTTCATCAAGTTCTTTAACAGGTAATAATGCTTTTTCGGAATGATTTGTAGAACGATGCTAGAAAAATACAAATTTTTAATTCAATGAAAGATATTTGGTTGTAGATTAAATTTACCTCTGAATCTATTTTATTTATTAAATGACAGTTGGCCTCGTCAACAACTGTCACTGTGTGTACATTATCATCAATATTTTGTGGGTAGCGGTGCAACTGCTGCTGCTGTTGTTGTTGTTCTTGATCTTCTTCTTCAATTATTTGTCGATATTGTTCTTTTAATGAATTACTCTTTCGTTGTTGTTTATTTTGTGGTACTCGAAAACTAACAAAACCAGAAAAACGATGTGATCGTTTATATAAATTAACTACGATTAAAACATTGAGTACAATAATAACAACTAATGGCCATGCAAAAAAATTTATTTGAGACATTATTAAATATAATGTATGTGTATGATAGGCACCTATACATTCAAATTTTGTTTCTGTTGTTCTATTATCAATAGAATTTAATAATTTAATGTTTTCATTTGATTCAAGTAACCATATACCAGGTGCAAAATTAAGAACTGGAATGAGCCATATAAGTACAGAAAATATTCTTATACGAGTTTTTGTTGTATGACGTCGATAATGTACGCTATGATTAATACTCCAATAACGTTCTATAGTTATAGCAACAATTGATAATACACTCGCCATTGTTACAACATCATCAATAGTAATCCATATTTTACAAAAAAGTTCTCCAAATGGCCAAGAATGTTTTATTTGAGCATATCTTTTTTTTTTAAATAAATAAAAAATTGAATTAATTTTTATCGATTAATTTTTTTATAGGAAACTTACGAATGAAATGGCATACCAATAAGTCCAACAAGAAGATCAGCAATAGCCATAGATAATATAAAATTATTTGATGGTGTTAATAGATGTGGATCATTACAAAATGCAAATAGAACAACAAGATTACCCCCGACTGTTAACAGTATAATTAAAATAATACCAAAACAGACAGATATAAATTCTGTTGTATGCCAAGGAAATGACATAATTTATTATATTTGTCAACAATTGTTTATATGATTATTTCTACTAAGTTTTCCTATCAACTTTATTCACATCTACAATAATAAGATAAGCATATAATAAAATCCCATCAGACATCTATAATATCAAATAGTAAGAAAAAGTCTCAAAAACATGTAGTATATAACTATTGATCTTCATCATTTTCTTCCTGAGGTAATTGTGTATGAAAAATGACCTATACTATTGAAGCATAGAATATAACTTACTAGAAAATCTAACCTGAAGGCAGACTTGAGTGATTAAGTATGAAAAAAAACTAAGAACAACACGATTTCTTGCTATTTCTTTTTCTTTTGATTGATTTCTTTTCTTTTTTTGCTGTCATCTTTCTTTTATCTTTATCCCCTATCATCATAACATCTATTCACCAACTATAGTAAGAAGGCAATAACAAAGAATGGCGACAGTAGTAAGCTTAACTAGAAATAGTGTAGTAATAGGATACAATCCTTATCGTTGTTTTATTGTATAGTTATACCTACGAAGAATTTCTGACATGAATTTTATTGGAAGTGATCAGTATCAATTAATCTATAACTTAATTTTAGAAAATTAGCGTGCCTTATCATCATTAGATCATCAATAAAATAAAATAAAAATCTAAGGACAAAACAACCTTATATATTGCATGATTTCGAATGTAATAATATCGTTTATAAAATCTATTAGTTGTTCTGATGTCTTCTTTAGGGCAAATGAGTTAACATTTATGATGTTCTTACTTTAAAATAATTCTAGCTGAAATACAAGGAAAAGTAGCATGAAGTAAATGATAACTATAATGAAATGTCACCACTAAGTATCGTTGTCATGCTAGTAATTATTAGAAGACTTTGGTTTGTTCCGAAGAAAAGTAGTAATTGTCCGCAGAATTTTCTTTTTCATGTCGTTGTTACTGACAGATCATTTGGACACGATAGTCTGCTTGTTCTAGTTAATGGTAATCTGATGACACGAACGATGTTGCTTTCTAAAGCTTTTCTTCTTGTTTCTCTTGTTTTTTTTTCTTCTCTTTTTTCTCATTCAGTAAATAGCTACGGATGTCAGAAAAATTAGAATATGCGTTTTCATTGCATTATGAAGTAAAGTTCTCCCTCCCTCTCTCTCTCTCTTCTTTTCTTTTTACCATTTTTCTTTTTCATATTTATCAGTAAATCGCCTCACTTCCTTTCTTACTTTTAAATGTTTTGTTCCATGAAACTAACACTAATTTAAACAAAAAAAAGTTTTCAAAACTATTCTCTTAGTTAATGCATTTAAAAACAAATAAATCATAATGAAGCCATTGATGAGAATTCATGCTCAAGTGTACAATTAATAACATAAGATATTCTATTTATACATGCAAGTCAAAAAGACGTAATTAAAAAGCTGAAGTCGGTACTCTTAGCATTTGATTACTAAATATAAATAATAAGATGAGATAAAAGAAAAACCTAGATCACATATCTTACTTAAGATTTATATCAGCTATTAATATATCAAAAACTAATTTAATAAGAAAAAAGAAATAGAAACTAATCAAAGACGATTTAGACTTTAGATAAAACGACGACATTTGTATTCATATTTCATGACCTCTTGATAATAACGATATTTTCGAGTATAAAAAAGCCGGAAATCTTATTCGTCTTTGTAAACTAAATGATGCTTTTAAAAATAAAATAGACGAGATAAAAATAATTTTTGTATAGACATAGAACTACGTGTCAAGCATAATAATTTTAATAGATTGTTAGCGAAAAAAAATAACAAATGTCAGTAGTTGATAAAGAAACGAAATGATCGAAGATATTTAGTTTTGGTTAAATTAAACGAACAGATGTCATGTATATTTAGAGAGAATTCCACATAAATGACAAAAGAATTGAAGTAATCAATAATCGAATTATTGTCAAGAAAAACAGCAAGAATAATATGACAATATTGGTAGATTTTTATAATATAAATAATATTGATTGCAATGAATTTATATTAAAATATGAATATCCAACTACTAAAAACTATAAAAATGCACTTATTGATAGAAACTATTCTATTCTATTTATGAATTAATATAGAAAGATATTTCGGTGACATGTAAAGCGAACTGGAAAATTTCATCTATTAATAATTAAATATTTCACAAAGTCATGTTTAGACGTCTCCTTCTTCGTCTTACAAGCCTAGATCAAATAGATAGAATTATAGATTCATTACCTTTGTTCTCATAATAGCGATTTTATTATTGTTATGAATGAACGTTCTACAGAAGAAGAAAAAAAATGAGTATCCGGTCGAGTGGAAGTGTCTACGAGGTATTGTAAACATTTGTTTTGAGGAAAAACAAAGATCTTTTTTTCGAGTACAATCTTTCCTTTAATAATTGAAAATAGTATGTATCATAGATAAAGACGTGTATACATAAAAAATTATTTATCTCTCAAAAATGTTTATCAATTATTTTAAGTATTAAATATGATGAATATAAAATGATAGATATGATCGCTAACAGTAAATGACATTCTTACATATATATAAATCTGTCGTTACAATAGATAAATCAAAACTTTTTTCTATCTCTCAAATGACATTGATATTTATTCAATTAGAAAGAGCGTACTGGAACAAGTTGCTGACATCGAACAACTATCGTGTTTCAATCTAATTTATTTTCTCGCTCGACAAAAGTGTACTTTCCGGATTGTTAAGAGGGTTACTTCTATCAAATAATTAATGTTTGCTCCCACACAAGAAACTATATTTTGGATGAACAAAAAAACTTTATGATTACACATTTTTCCATACACAACAGGACGAAAGAAAAAGGGATGGTAGGGAAAAAAAAAGAAAGAATGTTCTGTGCAGGTGTCGAACCTGCGACCTTCTGCGTGTTAAGCAGATGTGATAACCGCTACACCAACAGAACTTCGATTTCTATATCACAATTTGTGGAAGTCAATAAGTCTGATCTTATAAAATAATCGTATTTAATCTTCTTTTTAACGATATAAATAATCTTTAATGTTACTTTAATTATTAAAAAAGAATCGATGAAATTATACTTCAAAGCAACTAAATATAGATTCAAATTATAATTATTATCATATTTCTTTCATTTTCTATTGTCACTTTTATTTACATATCAAACAAACTATAAATTTGATGGAAGTATGATAAATTAATTAAGAATAATACCATATATTTATTTTTCTATGAAATAAATCGAAGTAATAAAAATAAAATCATGCTAGCTACTTTTACTACATTGTTAATATATGATACACTATATACATCTGTTACCATCATATCAACTACGGACCTGTTATATATTCTCATTCGATTTTTTATTCACGAGAAAAAAAAAGAATAATAATAAATGAAAGGAAAAAAGTTGTCTACCTCTATTGTATCGTATTCTATGATAAACTTTGACAAGGAATTAATCTTCTTTTCTCTTGTCTTGTTTTGTAGTAAAAGATCATGTATTATATAGGAAAATAGATATAAAACATTGTTTATATACTTACATGCTTTTTTTTGTTTCATTTGATAAGACTATCAATGAAGAGAGTTTTCTTTAACTATATTATTCATAAGAGAATCATAAAGACAATGATTGTTCTTATACTTCGTTCTTTCTTCGTTTTTATATTCAAGAAAAACTGATAAATAAAGAAATAAAAAGGAAAAAAGAATATATCTATAAATAGTACTTTGTATTAGATATACATATAATGATATCAGACGAATTAAAACAATCTGGAGATAAATAATCAAATAATAATTGAATAAAAGATCCAGCTACGTGATAGATAAATAAAATTTTATTCATATATTTATTTCGAAAAGAGAAAAGAAATCAAGTTATTCAAGTTGACTCTAATTGACATTCTGTAATATGTACACTATTAACTTTTTCTTGAGTATTTTCATATTGATCAAGTATTTGCCAATTGATAGGACAAACATGTATAGATATTTTATTATATAATGTTGATAATGGTGATAAACTAATTGCTTTTTTGAATGTACATTTTTCATCTAGAAAACATAGTTTATTCATATTTTATATTGAATCAATAAATAAATATTACTTAAATAAGGTGATGGTGTGATTTGACAAATTGCCATATTTTTATTTTCATGATCATAATGACATGTACAATCAACACTAAATGATGGCGTTAAACCAATAGCTAAACATGTTGCTTCATTATGACTATTTCGATATTTTAAGAGTGAACATTTTCGTATTGCAGATGAAGTATTGTTATGAGTTGTATATTCACATTCGGAACCATAATAATTTGTTAAACATGAACATTTTTCTTTATTATTTAAAAGAACACATTTACCGTTATTATAACATGTTTTTTTACAATGATTATCATGTTTTGTACGACGATGTTGACAACGTGACCCATCAAAATCAGGTAAACAATGACAAGCAAATCCATTAACTAATTCGATACATGTACCATTATTCATACATGATTCATTATCACAATCTTCTATATCTTTATCACATATATCACCGTATATTCCCGGATCACAGATACATCTAGCATTGAAACATTGACCATATACACATGTTTTATTTGCACATTCACCTATTATTTAAATAGAAAAAAAATAAGAAACTTTTCAGTAGAAAAATTACTGAACGATATTTTACCATTAATACTTATTATAATAAAAAACCAGACGATAAAGATTAACATTGTTGATAAAGAAATACAAGTATTCATCACAAATGAAATGAAGAGAAAAATAGACATTCCATTACATTACGTGTAGGAATTCAATCAGATTATCTTAGAGGATAACTGCATACATTTATTAAGCATAAGATAATCAATAGATTGAAAGTACAGCAAATTCTATAAAAAAAACATATAATTAAAAGGTACATTGAGAATGATGGTGCTAATTATCATTCATTTTCCCTCTTTTATCTGCATACTTGTACTTCTATTCTTATTATCTCTTGTGCGCATAGCTTCACCTTATACATTCTCATTATCATTCTTTTTGTTAGTTAGTTATTACATTTCTGTTCTAATTCATTTTGTTAATTATATTCTTCTGGTTAATTGATACTTTCAATTACTTAGATCTCGATCTCTACATATGTTTCTCATGCGCTACTACTTGTTTATCATTTGATTCATCTGCTATTCATCATATTGTTGTTTCATCATTTACTATACTATTATCATACTTAAAAAAAAAGCATCCAGTTCCTATCCAGAGGATCATTAAAAACTATTTTTGTCTATATATTTTTTTACGTATCTAGATTTAGATCAACATATTACAGATGAAATTTTTAAAAAAAGCAGTGTTGATATAGTATCACAGTTCAAGAAAAAACAAAACATCCACATACTATTCAAATATTGTACGACAATGTGTTCTGTTTACTGGCAGTTATTTTAACTAACTATAGTTTTCAATATTCTTATAATGTATAAATGTAGTACTATAGCTAAAATATTTATTCGCTCATAATTCATCAGCACTACAATATCGTCATGAAGAGCAATCCTAAACTATTAGTTATTGATGTATTTCTATAACAATCAAGTAGAAAACATATTTCATAATCTGATAATAAGTCATCAGCTTTTACTTGCCATATGAACAAATATTCGATAGATCATTTTATCAATAAACTGGGTTTTCGAGAAAGAAGAATATCCTATATTTATCTGATGATTACCTACCAAAAATAGCTAACATACTTTTTTTACAATGAAAAAATCATGTTTTGTTTTATATCTAGGTGTTACACTGATAGTAAACGATCCATGAATATTTTGCTATTTAAAGTCCTGCTATTGAAGTTTTATAATTAGATTTATAGATTGACATAAATTTAATTATTAGGTCTTTTGATGTAAAACAAAAAGTGACGTAAATTAAATCGATAGAGATGTTAATTATCAAATGTAATTAAGAATATAAACTTATTTCAAATTTTCATCAGTGAGATGATAGTATTCGTATATGAAAAATATTCCATGATTTATACATAAACTATATGTGTTAAACTTTAAGAAGGTCAAGGACTGAATAGGATCTTTTCATACAATATCATTAAAGAGACAAATACGAAAATCTTAAATTTTTTATTTAATGTGAAGTACTGTAAAATATGATTGATAATATAAGGATGACAACGATCATATCGACGTTTCGACTAACTTCAGTAGTCATTAACAAGATACTCCTTATTCCAGCACCACCATCTATACCGATAATCATGATAATTGTGTATTATTTACTTATTTGTATTCATGTATTTGTGGAGTATTGAGACACAATTATCATGATTATTGGTATAGATGGTGGTGCTGGAATAAGGAGTATCTTGTTAATGACTACTGAAGTTAGTCGAAAACGTCGATATGATCGTTGTCATCGTTATATTATCAATCATATTTTACAGTTCTTCACATTAAATAAAAATTTAGGACCTTTTCAGTTTCCAAAGATAATTATGTTTAACCAAAGATTTTTTACTGTATATAAATACGAATTCAAGCAAAACTATCATATATATTTGTATGTTCATTCAATGAGAAGTACGAAAATAAGATTATTATTAAAAAACAATATTCATTGCAATGGATTTAGATCATTATTTTTTTGTTAATAACTTAAATATAAAAATCGTTTTTTTTTCAAGGCTCAGTAATGATCACAGTTTGTCTTCAGACATGTTCAGGCCAATAGGGAATCTAATGTATACATCATTGCCTTGTGTTAGATTCGAACCATGAATATTATTATCACCTTGTCTTATTCCATTCAACTATATTCTTTCGTTCTCTTGATAACGTATCAATAGACTAACTGACCGACAGAACGATACGATTGTCGTTCTCTTCTGAACAATTCATTCTTAATCTGATAGTATTCTATTTTTATTTCAATACGTAAAAAAAAACATATGTTAATTTAACCAACATGTTTAAGACGTCGATAACAATTGAGCATTTCTGTAACAAGATCAAGTTTTGAACTGTTCTTGTATAATTTTAATCGTCGAACACAATCAAGTACTTCTGTTGTTGTCCATAATGCATCACGTTTCTTGATTACATGTTCATGTGGACGACGTGTATTACGATCTAAAGCTTCTCCAGATGTTGCTGATAAAGATTCATCAATAAGTTTACGTGAAAGAAATTCATCAAGTTCAGCTAGTTGTTGACGAGTAAGAGATCGAAATTGATTGTTTAATTCAAAATTATCATCATCATCATGATGTTTACGTAATGAAGCTGCTTGACAAATAACAAATATCATCGAAAGAATTAAAACTAAAAAATAGAAAAAGTTTGACTTATTTCTATAGATTTGTAATACGTACCACATAATGAGAATTTCATCAACATGTTTATGAGTATAGACGTGTTGACCGAATGCTATAGAAATAGATTTATTTGTTGGAAGAAAAGAATATGCATATACTTGTGTGTATATATATGCAGAGATATCTATGGCGTAAATCTTCGTCTGCCCTTGCCTTTGATTGCGTTCTTTTTTTTCCTCTTCTTATTCTCCTGTAATGTTTGCTGTTGTCACTCAGAACGATGATAAATGAGTTGAAGTACCAAGAGCTGATGTTACTAAATGGTCGAGTAATGATATTATTTGATGCCCATCAACACTTATCATTTAACTAACGATTCTATCAAATAAATAAAGATATTGTTAGCATTTTTTTATTAATATATTCTTTTACATATCATAAACGAAATAAGAAAATTCAAATCTTTAACAAATTAATAATGTATAAAGACTATCCTGAAGAAATGTAATTAAATAAAAGTATTTATAAGTAGTATCGATTCATCCTCTTGATATTTTAGGCAATACTTGAAATAATGATTCGTTCTAATTATGCAATTGCGCATATAGATCAGTGTATATCATATTAAAACAAATCTAAAACAGACGACATGCATAACTGATATCTTTCTTCGCGTCATTTAGATGAAAATTATCATAATAAGTCATAAACGCTTTAAATACATATCGAATTATGATAAGATTTTATGCTATACACCGCGCTCTTAGAAATACTTTCAATGGTCTACATATCTAAATGGCACTAGATTCAATCTACTTTTATAATGGGGATTATACTCGATCAATATTCTTAATATTTATTGAATGTTAGTAATACATTGAAATTCTTTTAATTGTAACAATAACAAGAGTATAAGAAGTATATACTCGATAATATTTTAAGTATACAGAATAATGGGAAGAAATATATCTTACATATTTATCACATATTTGTTGAATGATAAAACTAAATTCATTATCTATTTTTGACATTATCAAAATGCTTAAAAATTAATACTGCTGTACTTTAAAAGATTGTTTAGGATATTAATATTTTATTAACATTCTAATCTTGTAATCATGTTTCAATTTATATAAAGCCTGTATTTGAATGATCAAATAGTTCAATTGAATTATATTCCTATTTTTCTCGTTTGATAATGGACGATTTCAACCCTTTACTCCCAATGTCCATTTTAGTGAACATTGGAAAAACAATTGCAGATTATAAAGAAAGCACAGGATCCGAAGACTGTCTAGGTTTTAGAAGTTTAAAATGAATGTAGTAGTTAAGATATGGTCAAGTACAGAATGATTAGTGCAGAGTTCCTAGAAAATCAAAGCTTCTACCGTCCAATACCTGCAAATCGATACAAATTATTGCTTCAATCACTCAGAAAAAAACAAAAGAGAACGTCTGATCGATCTATCCATAGTTTTGACATATCGAAGGCATCATTATCTTATTTCAACGATTGTTTGATCAGCAGCTCTTTGAGAACCGCTCTAGGGGGTGAAGGATCAAATCATTGTTTCTTTGTATTATTTATTATTATTAGCAAATAATAGTATCTCCTATAAATGAAAAAAAAAAGATAATCAATTTTATTTCATTTCACATGTGTCACATTGCTTTACATCCAATGCAATAATCTACGTGATTCTAACAAAAGAAAAGATAAAGTATTAGGCATCTATTATTATCAGAAGACACAAAATAGTCAAATCTCTTGTGTATAACTAATGATTGGATTTATAGAAAATAGTACAATAACACATTGTATTTGTCTTTCTCATAATAAAAACAAGAAGTATGACATATTAATCTAGATTTTTCCCCATAAACACCCTTTGTTTCACAGCATGACCGAATACTTCATTCATTTGATTTTCATTGATAAACATGGGCAAAATCCCTTTGTACATATTAGAATGATAAAAGTATTGCGTGCTTATACTATACAGAAGAAAATATGTGAGTAATCTTACAATTGTAATTTTTCTTTTACTTTATTATCATTCTTACACGTATCTTTATAATATAGATGAATATGAAATTTTTAACATATCTCAATTTTTACTCTAATTTAACGAAGATGTAAATATACTTGTAATGATTACAAAAGAAAAAGAAATAATAACTATCAAAAGATATTAACTCTTAATTTATTTTATGTATGAAAGTATCTTCTTAGAAAAACACATACATATATAGAGATAATAAATATTCCTGTATTAATCTATAATTACGGATAAAAACGATTACGTGAATATATGTTTCTAATTTTTTTCTCTTAAAAATATATTTTATAATAGAATCGTGAAACTATTTCAATACAATCTTCTATAGATATTTCAAACATTTTATTCGAGTAACAAAATTATTCTTTTCATAATTGGCATAACTAAAGTTTTCTATAAAACAAAGACAATTTTTATGTGTATTTTGCCATAAAGATATATTCAAACAATACAAATATGACGAACAAAGTTGAAACAAAATTACAAGATGAAAAAGATACAAAGAGAAATTTACATAAAGTCGAAGATGATGAAGAATATGATTATATTACAATACCACCTGATGGAGGTTATGGTTGGGTTGTTCTTCTAGCATGTTTTGTAAGTTGTTATTATTTATATTTATTAATATTTCTTCTGATTTAATTCAGATGATTAATTTAATTGTTGATGGTTTTCTTTATGCATTTGGTGCAATATCAGAAACTCTTCGGAAACATTTCGACTGTCACGAATGGGAGGTTACGCTCGTTAGTTCTTTAGCTTGTGGTTTTTATTTACTTAGCGGTAATTTTTTTAAATAGTTCTGTTTTCATCATTTGAATTTATTTGTTTTAAATATAGCACCAATAGCTTCTGCACTTTGTAATAAATATGGTTGTCGTAAAGTTGGTATCATTGGAAGTGTTATTGGAGCATTAGCTGTTGCAGCATCAGTTCTAGCACCAAATATATATATAATGTGGTTATTATTTGGTGTTATCGGAGGTATTGGTATGGGACTTGTTTATTTACCGAGCATTATTATGGTTGGATATTATTTTGAAGAAAAACGTGCCATTGCTACAGGTATAATAAAATATTTGTTCTTTATTAAATTGATAATAAATTTGAATTCTGTAGGTATTGTTACAGCTGGTACAGGAATTGGTTCAATTATATTTGGACCAATGTCGCGTATATTATTCGACATATTTGGTTGGAAAACAGGTGTACTTATTCTATCTGCTATTCTTCTTTGTTGTGTTATTTGTTGTATTTTTATGCGTCCTTTACAACCAATTCAAAAACGACGTGTTTTACCGTCGAGTGACTTGTAAGTTTATTTACTTCAAATAATGCAACTTACCACACATTGAGCTTAGCTTTTAAGAAATTTATTTAATACAAATCAAAATCCAGACAAGTTTAGAAGAAGTAGCCACTAGTATCTTTGATAGGATATAGTATAGATTTATTAGACTATATAGAAGAGTGATTTACCGATTTTAAGTTAAGATTATGTGTATCATATAGTACCTAGTGAGCTATGAATGTCTTGAAAAGAGTCTGACCAATAATGTATTACTGACAAGATACTGAATTTTTACGATATTTTTTAACAGAATCTCAGTTTCTATCAGGAAAACCAGACAAACTGATTTTCGGTATTTTGGACAGATACAGCCCTTAATGAAAGTAGTTCACGGTGAATGTGTCGGATTTCTTGTTTTTTTCTAATATAAAATGCGCCTGTGGTAAAAGCGTGTCTTTTATATAGCTTATGCACAAGAGCAAATTCGATATTATTAATTCAGGATAAGAAATTCAAAAATCAGTTTGTCCGGTGTTCCAGCGGAACTACGGCATTATGTTAAAATATATCATAAAAATGCAGTATGTTGTCAACAACGAGCTATAGGCTCAAACTCTTTCCAAGGCAGTCGTAGCTCAGTGGGTTCTATAAATTTATAGTGCATATAGTTCAAACTGAAAATCGGTAATTTACTTCAGGCGGTTCCCTACTTAGCTTTCTTGAATTTTATTAATCCTGACAAATTCTAGGATTTGTCTTTCATCTCTAAATTAAATACATATGCTCTCGATACATTTCCATTACAAATCTTCGTATCACATATTGCTATTAGAAATCGATTTTTTATTTCCTATAAATATATGATTTTATAAAAATTTTGTTTTCTTTTATATTTCAATAGAGTTGATGATAATGTATTTAACGGCACAGTTAGTTATATATTTTCGTTTAAAATTTATCTTATTGTACTATTTATATAGACATCATCTCCTTTAATTAATGAAACCAAACCTATACGTACAGGTAATATACCAACATCAATACAAACTCCAGATTCAAATTTTTCTGAAGTGACAATTGAACAAAAAATTAAAAAACGATCACGTACTGATTCAGCCATATCAACAAAATCACGGCAAAGTATTAAAGCTGAAGATGCTGTTCGTCCGTAAGTAAAATTTCTTTTGACATATGATTTCTTATTAAAATATTTTAGTTTATATAAAGAAGATGTACTTTATCAAGGTGATACGAACGATTTACCTGAATATACATCTCAACCTGATATAGCAACTTACATTCAACAAACAACAAAAGTTCCTGAAACTGTAGAAAAAACAAAAATGAAAGCATTTTGGGATATATTTCTTTCGATGGCAGATTTTAATCTTTTAACTGATAAGAAAATGCTTATTATTTGTTTGGTAAACTATATACAAAATCTTTTCTTAATTTTTCTTATTACTTTTTCCAAAAGGCAAATGTTTGTTCAATGATTGGTTTTTATTCACCTTATTTATTCATTCCAAAACTAGCTGAATTAGAGAGATCGATTCCTGAGGCCTCAGCTGTTTTTCTACTCTCAATTATTGGTAAGTATAACGATTTTATAAATACAATTGATACTAAAAAAGAAGTTTCAATTTTTTCTAGGTTTCAGTAATACAGCTGCTCGATTTGCATCTGGATGGATAACAAAAATTCCTCATATGACACCATTACTTGTTAATAACATTGGTTTAACGATTGCTGGTATTGCTTCACTACTTGTACCATTATGTCAAACACATATACATCTTATCATTTATTGTATTATTTGGGGTGGTTTTATTGGTAAAATTTATTTTCTTTCATTAACGTTTTTATATAACTTATATTTTTAGCATTTCATGTTTCATTAAGTCCAGTAATTGTATGTCAAACTGTTGGCCTTGAACGTTATAGTAATGCGTTAGGTTTAACATTAATGTTTCGAGGTATTACTGCATTATCTGCTCCACCTGTAAGTCTTCGAATTTTTTAAATAGATATTTATTGAGAATTTATTTAGATCATGGGTGCTATTCGTGATGCTACAAACAGTTTTGATATAGCATTTATTATTGGTGGTATTAGTTTTATAGTAAGTGCATTGATGCACTTTTTTCTTATGTGGGTTAATCGTCGTGAGGAAGAACAATTGAATAAAACAAAGAAAATTAATAATATTCAAATAAAATCAGGTGCATTAGATGTATAATTTTATACTATTCTTCATCTTTTTTTTCTTAAATTCTATTCTGTTATAAAGTGTTCTTTTTCCATTTCGAACAGTAATAGTTTTATTTTGTATGCTAGCTTTAGTGTTTTTTTTTTCTATATATATATATACAATCCGGTACAATGCTTTAAATAAATAATCGAACAAAAGTCTTTTTATAAAGGCATGCTTTTGAAAAGCCATAGATTATTTTTAGAATAATTCAATTTCATCGAAAATTGAAATCGTTTGTCTATAGAACAAAAGCAATTTAATACCTTTTACCATATCGATTATATATATTGAAAAAAAGGGAAAAACATTCGTAATCTTTTAATCATAAAAAATATATTTTGAAAAAAAGAAAGTAGTTGTCGTTTATTTTTTTTCTTTCATATCAATACCGTATCTATGTGCATTGATATGTACTATCACATTGATTTGTAAAACGATTGAATTTTTGACCAGCCGGACAAGTTGCAGCAATAGGTACTAGAATAATAAAAAATGAAATAATTATATTATTAAAGAAAATTCTTACTAGCAAATGCTTGTGAACAATAAAAATAACGACCAATTCCACATTGTGCTGTATCAGAAAAAGCACCTTGATTTGGACATGTAAAATAACCTATTGAAATATAATAGATAGAAATATATGAATATGACTAAACTACGAACATTGATTGCATTGAATTCCTCTACAACCAGGTTGACATCGACAAAAAGCATATGTAGTTATTCCTACTGTTTGTTCATAACATGTTCCTGTTTGACATAATCCAGCATAACAACGATTAGTAATACCTGATATATTTAAATATAGAAATCAGAAGAATTTGATAAACTATTTCTAACCTTGAATTTCACAATTTTCACCACTAAAACCTAATTGACACCAACATACCTGTTGACCATTAACAATGTTGCAAACACCACCATTGACACATGTTTTTGTACAGATAGTTGGATTTATACCGGGTACACCCACACCAATACCAGCATAACCTATATACAAAATAAGTATGCATATAGATTATCGAATAGTTTCTTACGGCAAGGTGCATTAACAACAGGTGCAATATTATTTGGACAGGTACATAAAGCATCTACATAATTAGGTGGAATATTATAGCAACAATAACCGTTAAGAGCATCGGCAGCAGTGAGTTGACAAGGATTAAATTGACATGTTACTATGAAAATATTTAGATAAATAAACAATCTAAAATATTTTGTATTTTACCTCCTGTAGTTATTTGAATATATTGTTGTAATAACAGAGCAATAATAACAATACTAGATGTACGACCCATGATAAAAGAAAAATAACGAATGTAACACTAACATGCTCTACTTTTATATATTTAAGATTTATGAGTCAATATTTTTTCTATTTTACAATATTAATCTTTTTGATTTTTTTGTGTTGTTTTTAATTATATATTTTGAAATCAATATCATGTTTTTCTTTGAATTACAAAAATAAAAATAAAAAATAAAAATTAAGAAAATCCACCAATACTACAATCAATCTCATTAAAAAAACGGATATGTTTGGAAAAAAGATTATTAAGTAAAAGATAAAGAATATGAATATGATAATGTAATAAGAAAGGTAATGGATCGTTCCATGACCATATTGCTTCTTTACCATAAAAAATTGTTTTTAATGATTTAAGAGCGTCTTTAGTTGATCGTATATTTCGAAATAAATGCCATAATTCATGTGGTAACCAATAAATTAATCGAGCGGATGATAATGGAATTCTCATTGATAAACATTCATTTGAAAGATAAGCATCAGCAATATTTGGATGACTATAAAATGAAGTAATAGCTGAATTTACATAGGAATTACAATTAATTGCATAAGCTTTTCCATCATGTTCACTAACAATAAAATGAAATGAGAAATGACCAGTTAATTTTAATGTTCGAATATATTCCGTACACCATTTAGAAATAGCTGGCTGTTCAATATGTTTATAATTAAATTTCGATAAAGATGAATAACTACATGTAAATAATGTTATTTCACCATTCATACATGTTACATGTGTAAGATATTCTTTACCAGATATAAATTCTTGTAAAATATATGGATAATTTTCTTTAATAGGTAATCTATTGATATATTCAACAGTTTCAATATGTGTTGATCGTGGTAATTTAATCGTTGATTGATGATTTGCATGATTAAAACTAGCATTTTTACATATGTATGAACAGTCATTATTATTGAAATCAAAATTTAATAATTGATGTCGTGATGTTATTAGAAAAGATTTTGGTGTAGTCAAACCAAGTGATTGAGCTTTATTAATAAATGTATATTTATTATCAATAATCGTCGTATCATCAGAATCAATGTGAAATATTGAACAATTATATGCAGCTAATGCTGATTTTAACTATCAAAAGAAAAATAATTTAAAAGATGAATTAGAATGAGTGTGGGTAGAGTAAGAACAGAGCACGCTTGGTCACACCCACACCTGCATCCTCACTCTGGTTAAGACCTTGATATGGGAATAGTTTTACGTCAAAACTCGAAACTTTGATTTTATAGAGAAAATTGTAGTAAAAAATCAATATCTCAACTTACGAATATATTCTCTTAGACTTCCTGTGGTCTAAATAGTCTCAACTTATGAACAAAGTTTGAGCTCAAAAGCTTTCTACAAGGAGGAAACAGCTGATTATTTATCAGACATGATTTTAAGTGATTAGAGTTGATTAGAAAAATGAATAAAGTCAAGGGGAAACAGCTGATTAGGAATCCACTAATTATCGTAATCACCCCTAATCACTCCTAATCAATAATCAGCTGTTTTCTCTTTGGCTTTTTGACACCTCGGGTGGTTCCCTCGTAAGATGTCAAGGCATTCTTAATTCGTAAACGATCTATTAAAATACAACGAGAGTATCAATTATATATAGTAATGACCTGAACTAATTTCTCATTGTTAATTCAATAGAGATTGTACAAATAACCTCCTTACTTGTGCGTCAATTTGAGAATTATAAGTTGGAATAACTGGAATAAATATATTAATTTTTTCTTTTCGAACAATATTTGCAAGTGTATTTATATATGCATTTGATTCTTCATTAGGTGATGGATAAACATAGAATCGTTCAACTGAATTTGACCATCGATGACCTGTAAGCCAATTAATTGATTCATCAACAAGAATAATTTGATGACCAGCTTTGTGAAATGATCGACATAAATGAAGTGCTTTTGTCATTCTACCACCTGAAATTAATATTCGTTTACTATTTGAATTAGACATTGGCTTTATTTGTTTATGTGGAATAAGATTTGTAAAATATGATAAAATTAATGTAAATAATGTAATAAGTAAATTAAGCGGAAACATTATACCGAGTAAAAATAGAAAAAATATTGTACGTGCATAATTATTTAATATATAAGAAGGTATATGTGTTAATTGTGAAATAAATTTTATTGTTTTACGATATGGTAACCAAGATTGTTCAAAATTCTCTTGTGATTGTTGTCTAAGTGTTGTTACTTTTATTATATTTTGATGAAATTGATCAATATCTATTTAATAATAAATATTATTATTTCAACAAAAATCAAAATTAAATCTATACCAGTCTCTTTAGAAATATCATTGTAATTAAATATTTGTGAAAATTGTTTCCCATTCTCATGATTGTTGAATATGGTGGACATTATTAAAAATTTGCTTTTGAAATTCTGTTGTTATATAAAAATCTACAAAAATTTATTTTACATATAATATGATTTCATTCAGAACTTTGGACTTAATATAGTCATATGTGAAGAAAATACAAGGTACTTTTGTATCTTTTGTTTATTCTGTTTCATTCAAAGGAAAAGAAATAAACTGACGGATTCTTTCCGTCCATCAGACGTTACGATGATATATCATTCGTCCTGTATATAGAAGAAAACATTCGTACTGGATAGATGTTTATGTAATGACACGTGATTTGTTAACTGACTAACAATTATCTAGATCAAATCTAACAGCTTATTTTAGATACGTAATATGTTCTTATGAAAAACGAAATCAAATGAATTATTTACTAATCGTTGTTACATCTGAATGTACCTGAGTCACTAGATCAAGAGAATGACGGATCATTCGTTTCTCGTATTCGATCGAAAAATGCTCGAATAAACTTTAATAGTCAGAATAGTTTATAAAGCAATACCCATAAAGTTCAAGGTCATGTAAAAACAAAGAGACGATAATTCCTGAATGTAAACTGTTCGCATAATAGAACCAAGTGTCGCATCGTTTTGAGATCCTTCCTACTCAATGATTCTGTTTTGACTTGCGAAAAGAAAAATATTTTTCCGATGATAAAAACTTACAATAAATAGGTTTTGTAGACTTCTTTCCAATACATAATTAAATCTTACCGAAATTATTTCCTTGTAACGCGATAGTTTATTAGTGTATAATGAATTATTAATCAATTGAAGAAATATTATAAACTGTATATAAGTTTTCGTATGTCCATCAATAGATTTTATTTCAATTCAACGAATTTATATAGAAAAAATCTACCCTAACGGCATAATTGAGTATTGTCGTCGCTTATACAATTCAATAAAGATAATAGAATAATTAAATTTTTTCTTTTTTTATCTCAACAAACGAATGCGAGATATGAAATACTAACCTACTTTATTATTATTATTGTATTCTCTAATGACACTATCATAGTTTTATAGTCTATTTCGAGACAATAGAATTGTAGTACGAAATATATCAAAAATCGAATATTTTGTATTCCTCAAAATAGGAAGCAATTGGCAAGAGAAATGAGTAGCGTGCGCGAATAGATAGTACTAATTCTCAATAGACAAGAAAGTACTTTTCCCCGCAAAAAAAAGAAGAGTTATTCAATACTTTTTTTTTCTCTTGATTATCTTAAAGTGTTATTATATCGATGATGTCATTGTTATTCTTGTTTGATTGAGAAATGACTATAGACCTTGTAATAATGTCTAGATAATCTAATGCTACTAATATAAAGTCAAACTATACATATCAATCGATATGCATCTTTGCTAAACATAGGTTTTCTGTAAACAACATCTGTCATACCTCAAAAAAAAAGGAGGAAAAACGAGCCAGTATCACGAAGTTGATCATGATAGACATATGGATGTAATTTTTTCTCCACAGAGATTTATGCATTGGAAATTTTTTCATCAGATAATATATCATGATTAACATCAAAAAATAATAGTTTCTCAATTTTAGTGATTCTAACAATAAAAATAATAATATCTTATTGGCAATTTTTTTGTATATTGAAAATTTATACAATCTAAATATTATTTAGAAACACGAGAAAGAAAAAATAGTAAATCAATTTATACAGGTGATTCTTGAATACATCGTTCATCGAGTAACATATTTTGTTCTTCACTTTCTTTACGTCTTGATACATCATTTGTTGAAAACGATATACTATATCTCATTGCAGATAAATTATCTATAGATTTACGATGTAAATCAAGTAAACTTCGTCGTACATCGGATGATATCATATATGGATTAAGAAATTGATCATTATTAGGAGGATAGGGATATTTTGTTGTTGACATAATTGATATTGTTGAACCTCTAGGTCGTCCTTTACGAGTTGTATGTGGATATGATGGTGATGTTGTATTCGAATTTGAATATTCATCCATTGTATGATTATATACTGGTGTTGTATAACTACCAGTTCCTGAAAGACGTGGTTTCGAATGAATAACCATATCACTAGTACGATTAACAACAGTTATATGATTTAAATTCATAGGTGCTTTTGCAGATAAACGATAAGGTAAATCACGATGACGAATACGTAATAATTCTGAATGACGAATAAAAAGTAATATTGAACCAAACCATAATGCTAATACACAAAGAACAATAATTATTTCTGGTACTCGTAATGGATCAATTCGATCATCTAAATTAAAATAATATCTTTAGAAAATTAATTTTTTTATTAATTTGTTTACCATCTTTATTATTGTTTACTGCTGTTATATCAATACTATTATTAACAATAGTCGATGGTCGAACTTGTACAATTAATTTTTGTGCTTCATTAAGTAAGGTAATAATTTTCTCGGAATCAATCTATATTTCATAATATATATTTAATATATATTATGAAAAAATAAAATCTACCTTGTCAGATTTTTCCAATGTCATGAACGATTAAATAATTAGAGGTAATTATAAATCTAAAATATAAAAATAAATATTTATGTTACTAATAATAAAGAAATAGAAAGGAAAAAGGAATGCCGGTTGGTTTACAATAAGAAAACATATTTTTAATGCCAATCTGAATGCTATAACACATAGCACGACTTATCGTTTGTCTATTTCTATTGTAATCATTGACAAAAGAGTGTATATATGCCGATGTGCTCTGTTTCTCTCTCTTCCTCTCTCGTTTTTTTCACGAGCACTTTGGAGAAAGCCACTTTTTTGTCGTATGTAAACCAAAACAAGAAAAATAGTCTGATTACTATCGCTAATACCATCATCATAACATCAACATTATCGATAATGATATAGATATTTTGAGTAAATCAAAATTATTGTGCGTATTTGATTATTAAATTGACATTAGAAAATTAAAAATTTGTGAGAAAATAACTTAATATTAGCTTAGCACCTTTAGCGAGCGATATAGAAAAAGAAGAGAAAAAAAAATGCTCATTCTGTTAACACCTTTTACAGACATCATCATCTAAACTGGCATGCTTATAGAGGAATGAGAAATGGGTCATAGCCTTTTCTGTAATCAATATTTTTTCCCTATCAACCTAGACGAATGAAAGAGCAAAACAGAACAAATAAAGAGAAATACAATCTATTTTTCTATATATTACTTGATAGAGCTAAAAATTCACATGTCTGAGAAAAAGAGAAGAATTTTGATTGCACTAAATCGGCTGTTTTGTAAATCATTCGACTGAATATATTTATCAATTTAGAGCGAGATAAATGTTGGTTATAAGAGATTTTTATATGATGTGACATGTCAAGAATATTGATCGATATTTTTTTTTCATCTGATTATTCAAGAGAAAAAAAACTATGATAAGATGATGATGATTTATCTAGTAAATATCAACAATGTTTTTCTTTTTTATATCTATCAATAGATAATATTTTGGATTTATGAGTAGGAAAAAGAAAATCAGTATTTATGGAAGTTTAGAAATGACTTCCTTTTTCAATTACGATGAATTTTATTATATTTCTTTGGACATGTTCTTAACTATTTGTTGATCGTGTCTTTTTGTTAATAAAGAAGATTCCATCAAGAAAAATTAACATAAAAAACTAAATTTATCTTCTATAGAAGACAAAAAACATTCATGTCTTTATCTTCATTATTTCTACATAAATAATTTCTTTCTACTAAATTCAAATTCTAAAGTAAAGTACTTTAATGCTATAATTTTTCTTTCTATTTTTAAACGATAGGGATATGTCAATTTTTTATATAAAAAGATTTTTTTTTGTTATCAGTTAAAATAACATACTACAATCAACTTAATATATATATAATAAATATCTCCAATATTGACAAAATTCCTTTTGTTCTAACGTTGAAACAATAATACTGAAGTATTTCTTTATTGAACTCATTTATGAGACAAAAATATTGAATTGTTTTTATTAGAAAAACTTAGTGATTGATTGACTAATTAATATGTTATATATATTTTGTGTATGCTAAGTAAATATTGAAACAATTAAATAATGATTGATATCAATAAGATTTATTTAAATTAGCAGGGATGAAAGATATTTTTCTTTCTTGGTTGGCCTTGTTTTTTGAGTATGAAGTTTAGTTGTCAATGTAGGAAGTAGACAATAAGTATTTTTATGGAAAATTTGTGAATAACTAACATCCGTTTTAATAAATCAAAAAGAGTACTAATGTACACTCAACAATTCAACGTCGAAGTATCTATGAGAACCATTAAATATAATTTTCTTCTATACGAAAGTATCGTACTTAAGATCTTGAATTTCTTTAAGTAGCAAAAGAATTTATAATTCATTTTGATGTCTTATTGAATAGTATTTTATATATTGACATTCTTCTTATGTCTATTTCTCATCAAAAAGTATTATATAAAGAATATATTTTTTACAATAATCTATCGGCAAGTTCTTGTTAATCATTTACAGAAATATATATTACTAATACTAAAACAGACGAGACTATATACTAATAGTAATACTACACATTGATCTTTTTTTTGTTATAGTATATGAAATAAGTTTTATAACCTGACTAATGGTTTACAATGTATAATTAAATCATTCTGATGGGGAGAGACAGATTTTATTACAGTTCTACATATAAACTTCGAACGATTTGAATGGAAGAGAACAATAAGAATCCTTATTCATACTGTATTTAGTTATAATACTTAAATCGTCTATAATTGAATTATATAATAAATACGAAATATTTTCAATGTATGATTAAAGGCGACATCTTTGATTGAATATCTTCTGTTGGTCTATTTATTTTTCCAAGACGAAAAAGTCGAATTTATTACTAAAAATCGGTTATCAATATAATAAAAAATCTATTAATAATTCGTATCAAATGTCGACTTCAATATCATTATCATCTATACAATCACAGCATATAAATTCATTAACTAAATTGTGTTCCAATGCATTAGTTTTAGTTGATACAATTACATTCGAATGGTTTCGTGTAACAAATCTAATCGGACATTTATTTTGTTCAATAGATCATCCAACAATAAAACGAATTAATGATCCAGTAAATAAATAATAAGAATAAATAAATCTATATTACTTTATTTTATTTTCATAGAATCTATTCGAAAATAATAAACATACACGTCTAATTATTATTCTTAGTGAAGCAATATCTACTGCTCGTTTAAATGAGATTTGTACTGAAGAAAATTTTGATTCAGTTATATTATTAACCAGTTCACCATCTATAATTGATATTAATGATAAAAATGAATCAGAAGAAAATTTATTCGATATATTAGAATTAAAATATTTACAATTTCCTTTTATTTCAATAACAGATTATTTCTTTTTAATTCCAACTCTTATTCCCTATAGATTACCAACTATTGAAACACTTACTTCACTTACTAATGAACAAATTAAAGTAAAATATTGATCTATATAAATTTTATTCATTCAGTTTTTTTAAAATAGATGATGACTTCACTAGATACGAAATTTGATAAATTTGAAATTAAAACAATTCAAGTAAGAATTAATATTAATAATCTTTTTAAAATGTTCGAATAGTATAGATTCATGCTGAAATGTTAAATACTTTAATGGCTAGTATGAATGCACGTGAAGATATTTTTGCACTTGGTCCATTAAGTCATGTTATTGCTCGTGAATATACACAAATGGCAAATATTAAACAGAGGCGAAAAGTATATCGAATGATTTTTGATTTTTTTTTGAAAAATGTTTTTTTTTATTTTAGGGTGGTGAAAATAAAATAGCATTATTATTAATTGATCGTCATTTGGATTTAGCAACACCATCATCTCATCAACAAGATACATTACTTGCACAAATAATTAATATTTTACCTAATATACGTATAAAAAGTTCTGATGGTTGTCATGAACGAACAATTGATATAAAAGTTGATACTCGAGCTTTAGTAAAGACTTCATCGTAAGTTTAATAATAACAATTTACAAGAGATATCTCAATGTTTATGTTTTTTTTGTAGATCGAAATCTGAGAATGATTTTAATTCATATTTATTTGCTGATATGAAACGAAGAGTAGAGAATATAGATGCTAAATCAATATTTGATAATATTATTTATTCAAAATCGAAAGTATGTCAAATTGAAACATAGTTTATAATTATGATAATATCCTTCATAATAAGCATCAATAATAGCTAGAGTCTGTTCAGCTCAAATCCGACAGTTTTGAAACTTACCAGGAACCCGCTAAAAGTGATTCACCGATTTTGAGTTAGAACTATGTGCACCATATGGTGCCTAGTGAGCTATTAATGCTGTAGAGAAATTTTGGACTCACAGCTTGTTACTGACAAGATATAGTATTTTTATAATATTTGTTAGCAGAATGCAGCAGGCTCCCTTGGAAACATCAGACAAACTGATTTTTGGACAAATATAACCCTTAATGAAAGTAGTTCATGGTGAGTGTATCAGATCTTGTGCTTTTCTAAAATACGACTATGGTAGAAGGGTGTCTTGTATATCGCTCGTATACACGAGTAGATTCCATGTTGTTATTTCAGGATAATAATAATTAAAACATCTGACACATTCATCATGAACTACTCTCATTAGGGGCTATATTTATGCAAAGTTCGAAAACTAGTTTGCCTAAACTCTTTTCACGGCATTCATAGCTCACAATACAGTATATGATGCATAGGCATTCGATTAATTATTAATCATTGTTTTCTTTGTAAATAGAAATTAATGGATTGCTCATCGAACCTAAGAAAATATTGAGTGGATGGAATGATTTGATCTGTAGGATAATAGTATGAAGAGATCAGCTTTGAATTAAAAAGAAAATCTTTTTCTCTCGTTAAATATTTATTGGATTAAATGATTTGTACTATATCGTTTTTCGTAATTAAGGTAGCAACAACTGAAGTATTTACTCATCTTCTTGAATCTCTTATTTATAATAATTTGGAAACAAAATTGAAATCGGTTAAAGTATCTGCTGCTGCTATCAGTGCTTGTCTCGAAAAATTTCGGTAATATTAACTATCTTTTCAATTACTATCATACATATTTTTACTTTAGACAATCACCAATAACTGTCTGTAAAAATTATGAACTTCTAGTCATGTCTTGTTGTTTAATGCAACTTATGGAATCTATTAGTCAAAACCAAAAAATAGAACGCTTAGTTGGTCTTGAAAAAGTATTGCGTCCTTCAAATTAATTTTTTAGTAATAGTTTATACATCATTCATAGATTCTTGTACAAGGATTAACAACAAATACTGGTCCTAGTTCCTATTCCATTATATTACAAACATTAAAAGATGATTTAAGTAAACCAGAACAACAACGGTTTGTTGAGATAATTTATCATTGTTCGTATTTTTGTTTTATGTTTTTTTAGTCAATTAAAACTCATGGATTACGTTATTCTTCTTGTTCATATTTATTCTCTTGCTGGTAATGATGTCTTTTATGGTAAAGAAGAAAAAGATCGTACACATGTAAATAATCATATTTTTAATAATTTAAAAAAAAGTGAATTTTTCTTTTTCCGAAGAAATTAATTGGAAAAGAAATTCTTAATGAATCATTATTTACAAATGATCTTCGACAAGAAATGAAAAGTATAAATCCAATCCATTAAGAAAACAAAAAAAAAATTTTTTCTATTTTAGCACTTGGATATTCTCTAGAGATTGAACATGCTCTTGATGTTATCTATCAACAATTAGATTTATTATTATCGTATAAACGACGTTATAAATATTTAAAGTTTGTTGATTTAAATAGTTTCTTTAATTATTTCTTGGTGTATATATATAGTTCACTTATTGTTGATGGTCATGACGAACAACCGAATTATCGACAATCATTACTTAAACAAATCTTGGATTTATTTAAAATATATGGAAATTTAGGTTCATCGCCTTCAACAGTACAACAAGAACAATTGATGCATGATATTGAACATGTACCATTTGATGGTTTAACTGATTTTTTTCGAAGTGCTGCAAGAGGGTAAAATTAATAATAAAAATCCCCAAAAAAACAAATTTAGTTATTCTAGATTATTTGGTGATACAAAACCAAATTTAATTAGTAATGATTATTCAACTATTGTAATTTTTATTGTTGGCGGTATTACATCACATGAAATTCAACTTGTTCAACAATATAGCCAACAAATTAAAAAGCAGGTTAGATTCTCTTCACAATAAATATTGACATATACTCATTTTTCATTTTTATGCATAATGTATTTTTTTTCTCTCTCATAGATTATTATTGGTTCTTCGGGTATTATGAAAGCGAAGGATGTTTTATCAGTGTTATTGAATTGAATATGTGTTTTTTTGTTTATTTTTGCAATAAACTAAAATTATGCATATACTTGTAATAGTATTATTATTATTATTATTATTTGATTTCGTTCTTTTTCGTCTGTTCTATAGTAGTGATAAATGTTTTATTTATTTTGGTGTAAGACGTTGATCATGACAAAAACAGCCTTGAAGACGTTTTTGATCAGAAATTTTTGTGCGTATAAATGCATGTCATTGACTATAATGAGCTTTCGCGTGATATGCGTGTGTTTGTCATACCTTTCCTTATTCTTCATAGGGAGGGAGAGAGGGGGAAAAAAAAGAAAAAAATATGTCCTATGTATACTGCACACAAACATCGCCTTCATACTCACCTCTATTCAAATAGGCTAATGTATGTACATTTGCGTGAAGAGCGTTAGATCCATTGTCTCTGTTGCTCAGAGTCAAACATACATATTTTATAATTAACGCTAGAGAGATTGTTCGTATCATAAAAACATGTTTCGTGTAGCTAAAGCTTCTTTTTCAAATAAACTTATACGATCTCAATCATCAACATCAATAAAAGCTAAAAAATCCAATCAACGAATAAATAAAACTACGGAAAATATTCTACCAATACGTATAAGTAGTTCAAAATATGTTGCTGAACAACGATCGAAAGCTCGTGATATTGTATTATGTTTACAACGAAAAAATATAAAATTAATTGCTATTGATTTTGATAATACATTATTATCAATACATACAAGTGGTTATTATCAAGGAACAGTTGATAATTTAATTGAACATATTCGATCAACATTTTATTATTTTATTCAAGAAATTCTTGATTTACCCGCATTTGGTCATACACTTCATTTATGTATTGTTACATTTTCATCACAAGAACAACTTATACGAAAACTTCTTCAATTAGCATTTAAAACTTCGTAAGAAATTTTTATTTTCCATTGTTCATATTCGAGAAAATGTTTTTTTTTCTTTCTTTTAGTAAAATAGATCAAATTATATTACGATGTAATACACCTGAATTTATCTCAACTATGAATGAAAATGATTTTCTTGGAAAAGAATTTCATTTAACATCTGTTGTTACTGAATTAGCAACACAACGTAATAAAACAATAAAACAACATGAAATATTATTACTTGATGATGATGTACAAAATATTTTAATTGCAGAAAAATTTGGTCATAAAGTACTTGAAATTCGTGATGGAATTAATTTAGACATTTTAAAAGAATTTGCTTATAATGTATTATCTGAATGTTAATTTTCCTATATTTGTAATAATCTTAAAATAGTCACACAATCAAAATTTAAAAAAGAGAATTTTTATCAAAAATATATATTAGTTTGAACTTAATGAAATAATATCATCTAAATAAAAGAAATTTGTTGACTAGAACTATAATGTTATTCAACGGGGAGGAGAAGACGAGTTAAAATAATTGATTCAATACTAAAGTATATAATTATATTATTCAATGTCATCTTCGAAGTGGTTATATGCGTACAGTTTAATTATGATTACATATAACTTGTAAAAGTATGTTAGATGAATAGAGACACTAGTCGAGACGGATTAGATTATATATTACTATTTATATAAATTTACGCTACATGAAATATTAAAAAATGTTATAATAAAGTATAAAGGTTGATTTGAGTTTTAATACTTTCCGTAAACGTTTGTTTCCTTCAATTATAAAGCATAACACTTTGAATTGAAATAGAGTCATATACTTGAATTTGAAATAAATTTTGAGAAGTTATCTAGAATATGTGATTCAAATATTTTGTTATTCGTTTTACAACATTTCGTTGTTGTCGGGATCGCCATCTATATGAATTTTATACAAATGGACATTTCTTTGTTCTGTATATGCACTCAGTTTTAATCTTATCGCAAGCATGTTGATCTTTCATTTTTTAAATATTTTTGAAAGAACAAAAAAGGATATTAATAGTCACAACTTGATGTAAATATGCCCGACAGACAGACACATCAATAGCATTCATGAGAACCGAAAAAGTACATTGATAAGAATGTAAAGTATCACAACGACAATTAACAACATTTCATAAAAATAAGACATATCGACCAGTTCAGTTAAATATCTATTACGAGTTTCATACAGAACTATAAGTCAAACAGCTCGAAGGTGTAGATAAATAAATAACATTATAAAACATGTTAATAATATATTCTATAGTACATAGTTATTTTGTTTTTGTTTCAGATTGTGTTCAATAACTGAATATTATTATAATGTCAACCAATGACAATCAAAAGATTTCAGTAGTCGAAGGTATGAAAAAATTCAACATGCCTTATGTTCGTTTGGGTAATAGTGGTATGCAAGTATCAAGAATTTGTCTGGGTATGATGACATATGGTACTTCAAAATGGCGTGAATGGGTCCTCGAAGAAGAAGAAGCACGTCCATTTGTTAAACGAGCTTTAGAAATGGGAATTAATTTTTTTGATACTGCTAATATGGTAGGAATCTTACATCGAATTAAATTCATATATTATCAATCAAATTTAAGTAGTATTCATTAGGTGTAAGTGAAGAAGTCACTGGACGAGCTCTTAATGATATGGCTATTCGAGAAGAAATTGTTGTAGCTACTAAAGTATTTCATCCAGCCGCACCTGGTCCCAATCGAAAAGGTCTTAGTCGTAAGCATATATTTGATGCATGTGATGCCAGTTTGAAACGATTGAATATGGATTATATTGATCTCTATCAGATTCATCGTTTCGATAAAGATACACCTATTGGTAGTAAAAACAAATTCTGTATACTCTTAATTATTCTTTCTTTGGATAGAAGAGACAATGGAAGCGTTGAATGATCTTGTTCGATCTGGTAAGGTTCGTTATATTGGTGCATCTTCTATGTATGCTTGGCAATTCGCTAAAGCTCAACATATAGCAGAAAAGAATGGATGGGCTAAGTTCATTTCTATGCAAAATCATTATAATGTAAGTAAAACTGAGATAAATGATGTTGTGTTATAGTCAATAATATTATTTTATGTAGCTTGTTTATCGTGAAGAAGAAAGAGAAATGAATCCATTATGTCGTGATCAAGGTGTAGGTCTTATACCATATTCACCATTAGCTCGTGGATTTTTAACAGGAAATCGTAGTAAAGGTGATATTAATAAGGAAACAAATCAAGAAACATCATCTACATTACGAGCACGATCAGACGAGATTGGACATAAAAGATATTATGCTGATAGTGATTTTGAAATAGTTGATCGTTTAAAAACGATTGCTGAAAAACTTCAAGTAAAAACCGCACAAGTTGCACTTGCATGGATATTATCGAAACCCGGTGTATGTGCTCCAATTATTGGTGCTTCAAAAATGTATCAATTGGAGGAAGCAGTTGCAGCAACTGCAATAAAACTATCCGATGATGATATCAAAGCTTTGGAAGAACTTTATCAGCCACATCGTATTCTTGGCAATTTATAAATGAGCCTTCAAGTGATTAATATATAATATGATTTTTTTTACTGTAATTTTATTGAAAAAATGGAATAATTAGTTTTTTATCTTTTTCTAAAAGTCTGTTTACTACAATGACATATCAAGATAATTGAAATATTTTCTACAACTATTAAGTATAACACTTTCAATTGACGTTGTGTCATATGCTTTAAAATAACATAACCTATGCACACTTACATAGAAAATGACATTTAAATCGTTTGCTATTCAATTCAGGAGATTTCGTAATTGTCAGGGTCGCCATCTTTATCAATTGTATATAAATGGACATTTCTTTGTTCTGTATTTACACTCAATTTTAATATTATTTCGAGCTTGTTGATCCTTCATTTTTTGAAATATTTTCGAAAGAACAGAAAAGGATATTAATAGTCACAACTTGATGTAAATATGCCCGACAGGCAGACACACCAATAGTACTCTTAAGAACAGAAAAAGTACGTTGATAAATATATAAAATATTCATACGACCGCTGAGTGCATTTCTTCATATAAAAAGACAGAATGATCCATTAATACGTGTTATTTCAGTAAAATACCTTTTCTTTCATACTAAGCTATTAACCAAAGAGCTTGAGACTGTAAAACCATAGACAATAGTTATCAAACACGATTATAATACATTTCTCCGTATAAAGTAATTTTTTTGTTTCAGATTGTGCTTAACAATTCAATATTATTAGAATGTCAACAAATGACAATCAAAAGATTTCAGTAGTCGAAGGTATGAAAAAATTCAACATGCCTTATATTCGATTAGGTAATAGTGGTATGCAAGTATCAAGAATTTGTCTGGGTATGATGACGTATGGTACGTCAAAATGGCGTGAATGGGTCCTCGAAGAAGAAGAAGCACGTCCATTTGTTAAACGAGCTTTAGAAATGGGAATTAATTTTTTTGATACAGCTGATATGGTAGGAATCTTATATCAAATTAAATTCACATGTTATTTATCAAATTTAAATAGTATTCATTAGGTGTAAGTGAAGAAGTCACTGGACGAGCTCTTAATGATATGGCTATTCGAGAAGAAATTGTTGTAGCTACTAAAGTATTTTCTCCAATGGCAGATGGCCCTAATCGAAAAGGTCTTAGTCGTAAGCATATATTTGATGCATGTGATGCTAGTTTAAAACGATTGAATATGGATTATATTGATCTTTATCAGATTCATCGTTTCGACAAAGATACACCTATTGGTAATAGAAACAAATTTCATACATTTTGAATTATTCTTTTTATTTTATCTTTCAATAGAAGAGACAATGGAAGCGTTGAATGATCTTGTTCGATCTGGCAAAGTGCGTTATATTGGTGCATCTTCTATGTATGCATGGCAATTTGCTAAAGCTCAACATATAGCAGAAAAGAATGGGTGGACTAAGTTTATTTCTATGCAGAACCATTATAATGTAAGTAAAACTGAGATAAATGATGTTGTGTTATAGTCAATAATATTATTTTATGTAGCTTGTTTATCGTGAAGAAGAACGAGAAATGAATCCATTATGTCTTGATCAAGGTGTAGGTCTTATACCATGGTCTCCATTGGCTCGTGGTTTCTTGATAGGAAATCGCAGTAAAGGTGATCTCAATAAAGATACCAATAAAGAAACATCATCTACAAAACGAGCACAATCAGATTCAGTTGGTCATCAATTATATTATGCCGATAGTGATTTTGAAATAGTCGATCGTTTAAAAACGATAGCTAAAAAACTTCAAGTAAAAACCGCACAAGTTGCACTTGCATGGATCTTATCAAAACCTGGTGTATGTGCTCCAATCATTGGTGCTTCGAAAATGTATCAATTGGAAGAAGCAGTTGCAGCAACTGCAATAAAGCTTTCGGATGATGATATCAAAGCTTTGGAAGAACTTTATCAACCACATCGTATTGTTGGCAATTTATAAATGAGCCTTCAAGCGATTGACATATAATGCGACTTCTTTACTGTAATTTTATTTAAAAATATAGAATATTGGATTTTAATCCTTGCCTAAAAGTCTTTTTCCTTCAATTAAATATCAAGATAATCAAAGTATCTTCTACAACTATTACGTATAGCACTTTCAATTGACGTCGTGTCATATGCTTTAATATAAAATAGCATATGAAATTTCTATATCAACACTATTCCAGTTGTATCACAATGATAAATAGAATTAATAATGAATAAGTTCGGTGATGTCAAGTAATCCAGCAAAGAAAAATCCAGAAAAGTTTTACTCGAAGTTTATTAATGATAGAAGACACAGCAAGTAAAAGATATGGAAATATTAGAGACAATCTGATGAGCCTATTTCTTTGAAGCCACCAGAAGTGAGACTCTTTCGAGAAGCTGGGCACGATTGATGTTATTATTGTATAAGCGGGTGTTCAGATTGTGGATGTGACTGGGTGAGAGTGAGTGTAGGCATGGATCTATTGGTATGGACTACTCTTCTTCCTCACCCACACCATAAAACTTTTCGAGGTAATTTATTTCTTTTCCGAGTTTTTATTTTTCTAACTTCTTATATTCCTGATTTTCATTTTTCGGATTTTTTTCTGGATTACTTGACAGATTCAATAAGTTAGAAAGAATATGAGATTTAAATTTTTTGGTATTCATTTTAGCAGATTTCATATATGTCTGGATCGCCATCTATATAAATTTTATATAAATGGATATTTTTTATTTTGTATATGTACTTAGTTTTAATATTATCGCAAGCATGCTCATCGTTCATTTTTAAAATATTTTTGAAAGAATTAAAACAAAATTTTAATACTCATGGACTTATGTATCTATTTTCGACAAAGAGACACACCAATAGTACCCTCGAGAACAGAAAAAGTACATTGATAAGAATGTAAAATATCTGAGGGACCACCGGTGAGTACATTTCATCAGATAAAAAGACAGAAAGTTTCATTATTACGTGTTATTTCAGTAAAATATTTTTTCTTTCATACTGAATTATTAAGCAAATAGTTTGGGGGTATAAATCCATAAATAATGGCTATTAAACACGATTATAATATATTTCTCCGTATAGAGCAAGTTGTTTTTGTTTTAGATTGTGTTCAATAACTTAATATTATCAGAATGTCAACAAATGATAATCAGAAGATTTCAGTAGTCGAAGGTATGAAAAAATTCAATATGCCGTATGTTCGACTTGGTAATAGTGGTATGCAAGTATCAAGAATTTGTCTGGGTATGATGACATATGGTAGTTCGAAATGGCAAGAATGGGTTCTCGAAGAAGAACAATCGCGCCCATTTATTAAACGAGCTTTAGAAATGGGAATTAACTTTTTCGACACTGCTGATATGGTAAGACTTCATTTCAAAAAAAATTCAAAAATTATTTATGAAATTTAAATAGTATTCATTAGGTGTAAGTGAAGAAATTACTGGGCGAGCTCTCAATGATATGGCTATAAGAGAAGAAATTGTTGTAGCTACAAAAGTATTTTTTCCGGCGGCAGATGGTCCCAACCGCCAAGGTCTTAGCCGTAAGCATATATTTGATGCATGCGATGCTAGTTTAAAACGATTAAACATGGATTATATTGATCTTTATCAGATTCATCGTTTCGATAAAGACACACCTATTGGTAATAGAAACTAAGTCTTTATACTTTTAGTTATTCTTTTTATTTTATTTTCAACAGAAGAAACAATGGAAGCTTTAAATGATCTTGTTCGATCTGGTAAGGTTCGTTATATTGGTGCATCTTCTATGTATGCATGGCAATTTGCTAAAGCTCAACATATAGCAGAAAAGAATGGATGGACTAAGTTTATTTCTATGCAAAATCATTATAATGTAAGTAAAACTAAGATAAATGATGTTTTGTTATTGTTAATAATAATATTTTATGTAGCTTGTTTATCGTGAAGAAGAAAGAGAAATGAATCCATTATGTCGTGATCAAGGTGTAGGCCTAATACCTTGGTCTCCATTAGCTGGTGGATTTTTAACAGGGAATCGTAGTAAAGGTGATATTAATAAAGAAACTAATAAAGAAACATCATCTACGAAACGAGCGCAAGTAGATTCATATTCCCATCAATTCTATTATGCTGATAGTGATTTTGAAATAGTTGATCGTTTAAAAGCAATAGCTGAAAAACTTCAAGTTAAACCAGCACAACTTGCACTTGCATGGATGTTATCGAAACCTGGTGTATGTGCTCCAATCATTGGTGCTTCAAAAATGTATCAATTGGAGGAAGCAGTTGCAGCAACTGCAATTAAACTATCGGATGATGATATCAAAGCTTTAGAAGAACTCTATCAGCCTCATCGTATTATTGGTCATACTTAAAAAGGATGTTTGGTCGACTGACATATAATGAGATTTTTTAAAAAAAATAGAATAATGATTACTGTATTTTTTAAAGAGAACCAATTTTATTGAAATTTTTGGATCATTCCTTACTAATTAATATTCTTAGATAGACAAAAATGATATGATATCGATTTTTAAAAATTCAAATTTCGTTTATGTTAGATAAGTCTAATATTTCTATTCCTGATCAATTTCGAGCTATGCTGATATAATTGAGCACTTAGTTATCAGATATTGAAAACAAATGATTACTTAATATAAGTATACATACAGTGGTAACAATACATAATCGATTATATAGTAATCCTATACATAATTCATTTGTCAATATAACATATGTGAGGTAGGAAGGAAATATACTATGTCGATGTATAGTATTCAAATTATAATAGATTTCATGACAAAATAAAATAAAAAAAATAAGCATGCTACTCTATGATTTTTAGATTATTTAAATATTTTAACTAATATTTATAATATCAATATAATTTATTCTGTCATGTACACAAATATACATTATATAAACATTGGATAAATACGCATATTTTTCTATTTTTGATTATACTTATCAAAACAAAATCACATTTATTTTAATCTTAGCTATATGATAAAGACAAA